GAGAGAGAGAGAGAGAGAGAGAGAGAGAGAGAGAGAGAGAGAGAGAGAGAGAGAGAGAGAGAGAGAGAGAGAGAGAGAGAGAGAGAAGTCCTGTTGTCATTACTTGGCATAAGAGGTGGTCTGAACCAAAAGCAAAAGAAGTTTAAATAACCGAAGCAGAGGTGAGTTGAGAGAAAAATCAAATAACAGAAATTAACAGTTTCAGTCCCTAAGCACCACCTGAAGCAGGCTGCAATCTCACCTCGCCAGTCATCTTGACTCGGGCATCAGTTTTCTTAACGCTTTCCTGTCTCTTCTTGGCAAATACTCTTCCCAGGAATGTCTGCGCATTAAGAACGTGGAAGTGCATCATACAGTTAAAATCGTTGTAACGGGTGATGGAGAATTAGGAAGGGGGGGAGTAGGAATCTTAGAAATGCAAAGAGTAGATACAGCAACAGAACATCAGCTGCAGTCAGATAAAAACCTGATGAATGAAGCAAAAGTAGTTGGAGAGGAAACAGGAACAGAATGTAAACATTGGAAACGGCAAAACACTGTTTGCAGTAACTCTGTACAATGTAAAAAAAAAAGAAAAATTGAAAATAACATTATGAGTTGTGGTGGTGGGGCCCTATGGTGGGGCCCTATGGTGGGGGTTGGGGGGGTTACGTTTCATTTGGCTTGGCATCTTCTTCTTATCTTGTCTTCGCCTTCTCTTGCAGGGTCGGGCATACTCTGCCACAGCGGCTAGGTACCATGAGGAGTCTCTCGGCTGTGACAAGGCTACGTCGCCCCTCTCTTGTTTCCGATGGAGGGCATGTATAATTTTGCTTGCCGGAAATAGGGAACCGGACTGTCGCCTCCTACAATAGAAGGGGCGGTGTGTTGTGTTTAAGAAGAAGAACAGAGAAACAACATCACACTGTTTTCAAGATGTAAACAGAACGAACAACAATCAATCAGTAGTGGGAGGCTGCTTATGCAGGTTTGGTTGGTGTGCCGAACGAGAACACTTTGGGAAGCCAATGCGTGGGACAGCGAAAGGAAGAACCATCTCAGGTAAGGGGCAATCAAGACAGATCCAGCTTCTAAGAGGCTTGCTGATGAGACAATGCCAAGGGATCCGCCTCCTCTCTCGTCCTTGCGGTGGGGGAGGGAGGGAGGTTTCCTGGGGAGAGGCGATCGGCAAATCATAATGTTGCTGCCTCTGCCCTCGTAGGTTCCCCTCGTCTCTCTTGCCTCTCAAGCGATATATATATATATATATATATATATATATATATATATATATATCGTCAAATAGAACTGCCCGGTAAACCGTAGGCAGAGAGGGAGAAGAGGACAACAAAC